ACGTACGCTCAATTGCCGTCATGCGAGTGCCCGCGGCGGCGACACCAGAAGAGAGTCCTGCAATACCCGCCTGCGCGATAAGACAATGAGGATTCTGCCTGCGCCTGTGCCGGCGACAGGAGCCCGTCTTTCATCTCTGCATCAATCTCGAGACGCATTGGCGCAGCAGCAGTGAGATTTGACCGTCACGTCGCGACAGGGTCATATGCGGATTGACCATGGAAATATTCCCACTCTGGCGCCGAGCCAAGGGGCATCATTGGGGCCCTAGGCAGGGGATAGCGAGCCCGTAGCGAACCCGGGCGGGCCGGAATCTGCTGGCGACGCCGCGACGGAGAGAATATCAATTGGGGCGAAAACAGGGGTCCTTGATACGTCCGCGGACGGCGCCTCAGCCCAACAATCTCGACGGTGCAGAACAAACAAGTTTTTCTAGGGCCCTCGGAGGGCGAATGAGATCAAGTTCAATGGGGACGTCTCAACTCAGCATCTTATCTCTGTGGCTTTCCGGTGCCTGGGAGCGCAGCCAAGCAGCTTGAGAGATGCTCATCCATTCATGCCCCATGTTGTCTGGCGAGTGGCCAATATGCATGCATGTCAGACTGCGATATTGCCCAGTTTTCCCGCCCAAGACCAGGCAGGCCGAAAAGATGCGATACGGCCGGTCTGTGTCGCAGAAGCATCTCATCTGATTTCTCTGCCGCATGCATGAGGATAAGAAGGACGGGCGGGACGATTGACATATGGACATGTTTTACTTGTGCGTTGCTGCCGTGCGGCGGCCGCGACATACATGATATCCCACGGGTACGCGAAGCATGGCGAGGGTGGGATGGGACGGAACATTGTTCGAATGGCAGGGTCGCATCATGGCGTAGTTATTGATAGAGCACCACCACCCATGCGTTGATCGGGACGGTCCAATCTAGGCTTGGACTGGCCGATAAAGAGACACGCCCCCTCCTCCTGCTCCCTGAGACTTTGGTTCAGCTGGTGCGTGGCAGCGTGTCGCCAGCCCGCCCGGCATGACGGCAAGCTCTTCCATCCCAGGCCTAGTCTCGCCGTTCGCCTTTTGGGAGTCTTTGTGGTGGCAGCCATTCAAGACATACATGTGGTTTATACGATATCTTGTGCCTCTTGAGGCAAGCCACAGGCAAGCGCTGCCGATGCCCAGCCTCGCGATGGCCGGAATCGCGAGAGGACGAGGCTGAATGGCGACAACCTCGACGTTGAACGTCTGGCAGGGGCGTCTGACACACATGAGGAGGTGTCGTAGGTAGACGCCATCTCACCGGCACAGGGGCTCCAGAGATAAGAGAGAAAAAGCAAAGACTGATCTGGCGTCGGCGATGCAACGTATGCTGCACGGTGAGGTTATTCCACTCAAACGGCGCCATGACAGCAACGCGGACTATTGCTCAGCTCGAGGCTTCGGAGAGGAAGCCGGGCCTCTCGAAAACAATATTCGCAGGGCCAGGTTGCCGGGGGTCGAGATACCACCAGGTGGTTGCCCAATTCGACTCGGCCAGCGCCTGTGCTATGCTGCTTTTTCACCATTCAGGTGGAGGAAACCCCCCGTCCAGTTCTGTTTTGGGTCCAGCAGACTGGGTCAACATGCAAGTCGGTGCATCGGAGCACAGGAGAGCAGGCAGACGGGCTTTTTGAGGCGGTCGGGGATTAAAAGGTAGGTGTGCAAGCCGGCGGCAGCGAATTTGCCGTATGCCCATGTCGACTTGCGCGAGATAGGGCAATCGGACTTTCGAAATGAAGGGCACAAATTGAAGTCTGAAGAATATTGGCACATCCCGGTCGGGTATGATGAGATGGGAGTTGGGGGCGTCTGGACATGCAATACGGATGACAGCATCGAGCGCGAGAAGAGTTTGGACCGTCACGCTTGGCGCCAGGAACCGGCGTCCAGGCATTGGATTCAGATCTCAGCGCGATGGAAAGGTTGTTGTCAGACACGAGCCGGGCTGACCTGTGTGCACAGTGGCTGTCATTCTCACTCGGCAAGGTTGTGCCTTGCTTGAGGAGACGCCTCGAGACGATATCTGGAGTGTCTAACAAGCAATAAGCTTACCTGGCCTGGGGCATGGCGGGTTGAAGCTGACAACGCAGGGGTCCTCTGTGCAATGCTCATGTCGATTGAGTGTGTAAGTGGAGATGGAAGAGTTGCAAGAGGCTTACTCGAGGGTGCGTACAGATAACAACTGCAGCCGGTTCCCACCACATGGAGAGATGCAAGATTGCAATTCGATAATTCCTGCCTCCTGCCATTTCGAACCCGTCCTGGCCCCGGCAGCGTGGCAGGAAATGGCTACCCGTCATCCGACCGTCAACCTTGTTTTCGCGGACGCGAGCTCCCTCCCCCCAAGGCTCAAGCTCAACCTCTCGTCTACGGATACCTCCACCAAACAAAGGTCTCTCCACCAGACCACACCTTATTGCGACCAGGCGGGTACTGTACTGCAGAATCCACTTGTACTGGCAAGCTTCCAACAGGGGCACAATCTGACATACATGATATCCTCCCTCACTCCCTGCGCGGCCAAAACATCTGCCACGATGTCGACTGCCAGAGAAAAAGCAAGGAACGGCCGCCGCTGGCAGTGTGCGTCTCTGGCAAACCCTGTGAGGGGTGGGGGTTTCCCTGATCCTCCGGCATGGCCCCGAGGCTCGCCAGACGACGTCGTTATCGTTGAGCGTTTACCCTTGCTTACCTCTTTTGGCCGAGCCAGCCTGGAGGACAAAAGAAGCCAAACGTCAACGACGGGCTCAGCGGGCCACTGGCATCGCCATCGTCGATATTCGGCCTGGTGAAACAAGAGCGACGCGTGGTTGATGTAATGAGACCAGATGCCGAGTGGCGCACCACACTGCCAGCGAGACGAAGTTGGAGTGCGTAAAACAACGGCAGCAGCGTGATCCCCGCCAGTTGCCACGGCTGGGTTTGGAAACAAAAAGCCCGTTTGACAAGACGGAGAAGCTGATGTGCTGGTCTTTACTCGACCAAGCCTAGCCTGCGGCGACAAACTGCGGGAGAGGAGACCTTTCAGCGCCGTTTACCTTTCTTAGTGGTGGGGAGGGGCACATTGCATTGGCACACACCATCAGCAATTCGCCAATTCATCATCATCGGCGGGCATCGTCCAGCAGTAGCGATTGACTCCCCTGAAGCGAGCCAGCCCGGCACACTTTTTAGCTTCAGTTTGGGTTCAAGGCCCCTGTCCTGTGCGGCTGGCTCTCCCCCTTCTCGACCCTGCACTTCCGCCCCGTCAGGTACTCCAGTGGGTTCGTTCTGTTCTGTTCTGGACTGGGCCTGGGGGTAAGGATTTCCCCAAGACCCCCAGCTTCCCGCCATCAAACCTTGCCGAACAGCATCAACAACAGCAGCAGCCAAAGGAAGCCAGCAGCCAGCAGCTGTTCAGACCTCGTCCTGCGTGGACCTGAGGAAAAGAGGCCCGCGCGAGTCTCCGTGATGATATGGACTGGACCTAATCTGGTACTGGGTACCTGGGCGCTGGCTAGCGGCTTGTCTTCCTCCCCGACGCTATCGAATCTGGGCCAAAGGCTTCCATTTCTCTTGCACCCGCGACCACAACGGCTCGAGCTGTCGCCGGCGCATCCCTGCCGCCAGGTACCGCTACCTGCTCTGAATACGAGGCCCGTTTGATCTCTGATCATCCCAAGCAGAGAGGCACAGTTGGGAGAGAGCCGTTTGTCGAGCCGCCGCAATTGTGATTTGCTGGGCGGGTTCCAGACGGAGGCCGTGAATTCCATCCGGGGGCGTCAGTCAGTTATCTCGATCAATCACCACCACTCTCTCAGTCTGACAAGACCATCGACGCCTGGTCGTGCCGTCGCTCTTCGTCGCCCGCCTTCGGTACCGTCCGCCAGCCATGAGCTAGTGGCTCTGCCTCCCGTGGATCTCACTCGCGCCGCGACCGACCTGCGCCGGCCCCATTGCGAGTCGTCGTCGTTGTCCTCATCGTCGGTCCCCATCAAAGGCAGCTTCCAGGCCTGACCGTGCGATCCAGGGGTGTCGACAGATGAGCGGACCACGTTCATGACGGCGGCCCAGCGGCACCAACTTGACACTACCACACGCTGCTTCCGAGCCCAAGGAACGGGACTGGCGGCTTCGCCATGAGAGGGACTCCAGAGAGTACTCTGAAGGGGCGCTCCTCCTCGACTTCCAGGTTGGTTCGGTCCGCCAAGAAAAGTTTGTACCCTGGGGGCCCTGTCGGGAGCCAGAAGCCACAAGCTGCAGAGAAAACGAGCGAGCAGCACGTCGACCTCCATGCACCACCCATCTGCACCTAACGAAGGCATCCCATCCTGTCCTATCCTCGACCTGCACTACTGCGACTACACCCCCATGCCCATGCCACTCCTCCCATGTCCAATCCCAAGACCAAAGACACACACCATGCACACTGCCACGCCTTAAAGGAACCAGGGCTCCCGAACCCAGCTTCTGTTCTGGGCAAACTCCCTCTCATCCATCGACCCTCTTTCTCTCTTATTAGTTGTTCCATTCCCTCTATCCACCAGGCCCTACCTAAGGCTGGAATAATTATATTGATTGTGTCCCTCCCCATCCTGTCCCACGTGTAGGCCACTCTCCAGTTCTCTCGCTTCAACCTACCGACGACCAGTCCGTCCACCTGCCAGAAAGGCACGAGCCATCGTCCGTAACAACGGCTGATGAGCGAACGGACGACCGACGCCAAGACGACAAATCTTTTGAATCCCAAGAGAGGGCTTTTGGAGCTGGGACTGCGTCTGTGGTACGGTTACCATCCGAGTTTCACCTGTACCGCCTGAGCATAGCCAAAACCGTCTGTCCGGGCCCGACTTATACGACGTCCCGTCCTGGAGGACGACTGTGCGCCTCCAGCGTTGCTTAACTATCACCTCAATTCCATCCAACCGGGTCTGCTTTTTTCGCAAACAGGTTATCATTCTTGGAATAATACCGTCTCATTCAACTCAACATGTCCGTCTTCTCTCTCATCAAGAGGTCGCGGCAGCAGGCCAAGGAGCACAGCCAGAAGCAAGCCGACAAGGCCAAGGAGCCCCCCAAGCAGCCGTACCGCCATGTGCCAACCCACGCCGCCGTTGACGCCCTTTCCGGGGCGCCGTCCAGCTGGAAGGCTGAAGATCGACCCAGAATTGCCGAGCAGAATCGCAGGAGGAGTGCAATGGCCATGAGCGGCTTGACCAACAACAGGATGCCTGGACCCAGCCTGCCTCGTGTTGGAAGCAGCCTCTCTCACGTCACGTATCCCTCGGCCCACGCCAACCCGGCAGGAAACATGCCCAGGGCCTACAGCTACAGCGGCGTGCCTGGCCCGATGCCTTGGGAGCAGCGAACCCTCAAGAACGCCTCCGTCTACTCCGTCCCCGACACCGCCCGCATCTCACTCAAGGGCAAGGAGGTGGATAGGTCATATGAGTCCGGCCGGAACAGCCCGACGTCGATCAAGGGTGAGTTCGGGGAGCGCAGTCGGTGAGATGATTTACTGACAAAGTCAGCCGGATCCCCCGTGGGCAGCTCCAGCCAGTCGACCTCCTCCCAGGAAGACCTTGAGATGAAGCCGTCAAGACACATGTCCATGCCGCCTCTTCCCACCGGCGCCGAAGGGCCTCGAAACCCTGCCATCTCCATCCACGCTCATCGCCTTCACCCCAGCTCCCGTCGGGCTTCAGATGCGTCAGAAAAGGGCGACACCTCACCCAAAAGCCTCCAGCCCCAGTCATCGCCAACTGACAAGACGCGGCCGCCGCCGTCGATGAGAGGCTTCAACGCCATCCCGGCCATGCCCTCCCTTCCGCCGATGCAGTTTCAGCCTCCCGCCCAACCGGTCACGTCTTCGTCAGCGTCAACCCGCTCATCGACCCACGGATCCTTGTCCTCGTTCAACTTCAACATTAGCAACGTGCCCTTCTCCGCGCCCATGTCCGGCAGGTCGTCCGCAGCCACCACGCCGGCCGCCTGCGTGACCCCCGAACCCGTTTACGAGTCTGTCGAAGAGGAAGAGGAGAGCTCGTCATACACCTACGCCCCGGCGACGACGGCCGCCCCTTCCGCTATGAAGCAGAAGGACCGCCGGAACGCGTCAAAGTCAAAGGTCACCCGCTTCACCGAGCTGGAGACGATCGACTCACACACCGAGCAGCCGCCGCGCGGCAGCATCCCCAGCGTCCCGTACGAGGAATCCCGCCAGGCGACGCCTCCCTACGTCTCCAACGACGCCATCAACAAGGCCATCGCCGTCGAGATGGTGACAGCCGCCCCGGCCGAGGTCGTCTCCGCGCCAAAGTCGGGCAAGCGGCTGTCCAAGCAGCCCGGCTCGAAGCTGACCAAGAAAAACCGCTGGTCAACAAAGAGCTCGCCCGTTGCGGTTTAAACCCCCTGCTTCTCCATAGACGGCGTTATTAAGAGTAATGTTTTATATCAATCTGGCGCATGCCGCCGGCCACACACCATGCAACACTTGGGACGGGAAAAGAAAGAAAAACACGGACAACGTATTGTTGTCACGATTCAAATCGCAGTTGCTGGCGCTGGACTTCAGCAACACTCACAACAGGACTGGACATTTATTCAGGATCGAGGCTCTAGGATTCTTTTATTTCGCATAACGATTGATGACAGATTTCTCTCATACCGACTGGGAAACTTATAGACAAACTTATTTCATTATCTTCACTTTACTGTGTCAGATGGAGGAGGAGGAGGATGCCACATGGAAGAATATCCTTGGAACGGGCTTGTAACCTACCTACCTCTATTTAAGCTACGTCTGGTCTGATGTTGGCATGACGCAAAATGTTCAGACGGTAAACGGACTGAGAGGAAGCAAAAAAAAAAAAAAAAAAAAAAAAAAAAAAAAAAAAAAAAAAAAAAAAACNAAAAAAAAAAAAAAAAAAAAAAAAAAAAAAAAAAAAAAAAAAAGAAAAAAACACACTCACAAAACGTCATGCCTCCCCAACGCTCTCTTGCTCCAGTGACGTATTTTCTGGCACAACACACGGTACGAGTCTCACTGCTTTCTCGGCGGTGTGATATGCGAGACAAGGTGTAAGACAATACTTGGGAGGACGGCTGATGTGCCCCATACCCCTCTCCGAAGGAACAGGAGGTCTCAGGCACGCACATACAACACGCCAGTCAAGTTTTAGCCTCCCGGACGCCGAAAAATACGATATCTTTAGGTGGTTCTCCCCTGACGCCACACGGGAAAGTCTGGTTTATAGGGCGTTTGTCTTGCTTTAGTCCCCCGCCCTATTAGTTGGTGTTTTGTGTGAACAGACGACGAGCTTATAATTAGGTCCGGCGGCATCCAGGAACGGGGGCGGCCTCCCCCCTCTTCGGTTTTGACGGCGCTCTTAGACACGCCGGTAGGTGCATTGCGATCTTCACGACTATCGGGTCGCCGGCGGTACTTGTCAAAATGTCGACATTTAGACTGTCCCGGCCCCGCGGTCGTGTCCTGGTTTGAAAGAGGTTGGGATCGTCAGGGACCAAGAAGCCTGGATCTTGGGTCTTTTTCCCTCGTCTTCAGCGGGCCAAGATCTGGGCAGGCCAGCGTAGACCAGAGGAAACTATTGAAGCGGGCCGTTTTTGGGGGGTGCGGTGTGGGCGGCGGACAGCTCAGCTCTTATCGAGAGCCTGCATGAAGCCTAGGACGAATCGAGTCGGAGCGAGTATTTAGACATGGCTGACGGACACACCTCGCCCGTGCCTCTTCTTAGATAGACGTGCGATATCGTCTTGGTTCGGCGACATCCGCCTCCCTCGTTCGGTTTGCTGCTTTCCTTGTAAGAGATATTCGTCTGGGCGTCGTTTTCTTTGTGTTCCGTGCCAGTCTTGTCAGTGAACAGTATTGACCGAGCATGCATGCAGGGCCATTGGAATATTGGGTGATGGCGGAGGATTGTGCAGCGCGTGGCATATGCAGTACCACCTGGCGCGCGCCCAATCTCTGTGTCTCTGCATTCCCTATCTGCTGCGGTTCACCTGATTGAGCCCATCTCATTGGCTCCGGGGCCGGTCTGCTGCAGGTTCTCGGACGTTATATTGAGATGATGGGCTCCAGCTGGATGTTGGCAGTGCTCGGCGTTCCCTCTGCAGTTGAGTAGCCATGCCGTCGGTTCGAGGCCCGAGGGAGACATCGTTCTGGACCGTCGATAATCTGGTCGTCCTCTTGGCTAAGTCCGAAAACCTCTTTCTGGGGATGGGAGATGGCTTGCGCAGCAATTTCCACCAGACACGCAATAAGGATTGTTTGGTGGCTTGAAGACGGAAAGAAGGGAAAGCTCGTGCGTTTATCAGGGCTGAGAGAAAGCATCCTTTGGGCTTGGACGTCCGCTTGGTGGCTTCGGGACCCGGCTGCGATTGGACCAGGTTCGATAGTGAGAGAAGGGTCACGTTCTGGCTGGATCAGAACGGCACATTGTGTTGTATTGGTGACTTTCGCCAGCATAGCAGTCTCGCGCAAATTGGCGCCGTGAATCCATCGCGATATGCTTAGGCTTGGTATCCCTTTAAGTGCGGAAAATGGCTCAAAGTCAGCTGCAGGGGTGTGTGACCAATAGTCTAATTTGATTTATGATTAACTCCATATGAGGTATATAGGTAATAGGGGCACTAGGCCCTCTCTACTACTAGAAAAATCTAAATAGTAATACTAATATTTAGGCCTCCTTATTATACTACTTCACCTAGTAGTTACCTATATAGTATAAAAGTATATTATACTTAATATAGTTTTAGTATATATAATACTACTTATTACCCCTATTTCTATTAAATAACCTTAAAACTATCCTTTTAAAGTACTTTATATAAGTATAGTAGTATTACTACTTTTTATAATATCTAAGTTTATATAAGATCTCCTCTATAGTTTAGATAGTTAAAAAGTAATACTCTCTAACGCTCTATAGCTTAAACTTTACTATAAGTTACTTATAGAGATTATAGTAGAACTTACTAGAAGGCTTCTTATATAAAGGATTTAAAGCCTTATAGATTAAATATATATTAGTGAGGGTAACCTCTATAGAGATAAAAATTAGTATATAAAGTACCTTAAAGACCTCTTAATATACCTAATAAGAAGTTAAAAGTAATAGGTTACTAGCTATTATAGTAGCTATAATAAGTAGTAAGACTTATTAAGTTAGTTTAGTATTAGTTATTAATATTAATACTATTTATATAGTAGTTATACCTATTAATTAAAATAAGTAAGGGTAGTTTATAGTAAAAGACTATAGTAAGCTTCTTATACTTACCTTAAGACTTTAAAGCTCCCTAACTTAAAATAAGTATTATTATAATTTTAAACAGTATATAGGTAGTTTTTACTAATATTAATATAGTTATAAGATATTTTTATATTTATATAGTAATAACCTCTTAGCTATTAAATATATTACTAATTAAAAAGAATATTATATTATCCTTAAAAGTAAATTAATAGAGTTTATTATTTAGTATTAAGTAGGTAAAAAGTAAGCCTTAAGGTATATAGTCCCCCTTCTTATTAGTAGTTTATAGTTAAGTAAGTAGCTTCTATATCTTTAAGTTTAAGTAAGTAATACTAATAGCTACTACTAATAGCTCTAAGTAGTATAAATAGTAAATAAAGTTAATAGTAGTAAATAAATTATTAATAAATATATAGAAATAAGTAATTAATCTATAAGGTAAGGTAGTAATTAGGGTAAGTAGCTATTATAATAAAGTAATAATAATAACTTAGGTAGGTACTAACTAGTATAACACTTAAAGGTTATTAAGGACCTTTTTATTAGTAGTAATAATAGCTTTTTTAACTACCTCTATAGTAGCTTAAACCTAAGCCTTTAGTAGTAGTAATAAGGTAATACTAATAAGTCCTTTTTTAGTATTAGCAGTAGTAAAAGTAATATTAGTAGTAGTAGCTTTACTATAGGGGATCTAAGTAAAAAAATAGCTACCTTAAGTAATAACCTATAACTTAAAGCTAATTTTAATAAGTTTTTTAGGTATCTTAATAATATTATATAAGTAACCTTAGTAGTAGATTATATATTTATTAATAGAGATAGCTAAGCTTAAATTCTATAGCGAAATTAATATCTTTTAGATTAAAGCTAACTAAAGCTTAATCTTTTACTATATACCTTATAGTAGTATTAATACCTCTAGGTCTTATAGTTAAAAATTCTAATAAATTATATAAAAGTAGTCTCTTATAAAGTAAGTATTAATATTATAAATAGGCTACTAGGTATTAGTTAATTAGTAATAGTTAACTTTAAACTTAAAGTAAATTATTATATAAATTAAAGTAATAAAAAAGATATAAACCTCAGTAAAGCTAATAATAAAGTTATTATTAAACTATAAAGCCTTCTACTTTAAGCCTTAATAAGAGCTACTATTACTAACTTAACACTACTAGAGGTATAAATTAATCTATTCAGCCTACTTAGCTACCTCTTTAAGAGGTAAGAAGTATAAGAAGATCTTAAAGGTAGTCTTACTAAGTAAGAGAGAAAGTATAAATATATAGTTAATAAGGTATAATTTCAAAAAGGCTAAATAGTAATACTCTTTAAGGATATTACTACTTAGCTAGTCTTTTAGGAAATATTATAATATAGGTATAAAGCTAAAAAAGTTATAATTTTTAGTACTTTATAAGGCCTATAAGGAGGAGAAGTTATCTAATAATATATTTTATAATAAAGCTAGCCTTAAGCTAAATTTAGCCTTAAGTATAAAAAAAATAGAGAAAAAAGCAGAAAATTTATATACCTTTATCCTTATTAGATATATTATTAGTAATTAAGTTAGCCTTATTACTTATAAGGTTATTATTAATATTATTAAAAAGTAATATAAATAGGTTAAAAATTATATTATAGAGGGGTATAATTAGAAAGTTAAATTAACCTAAGCTATACTAAGTTAAAAAATCTATAACTAGCTAAAAACGTACTAAGTAGAATCCTTAGCCTCTAATTAGTTAGAAGTAATAAGGGTAAGTTAAAAAAGACTAATATAGTTAATTAATAAGATCGTAGCCTAAACTATAAAATATTTTATTTTTACTTCTATAGTTAATTAAAAATTAAACACTAATTAGTAACTAAAATAGAACCTAGAAAAATAATTACTATAATAATCTATATAAGAATATCTCTTTTTTTTTATTAGCTACGTTATAGCTAATTTATACTAAAGTTTTAGAAAATATAGTAGTATTTTAGGCCCCTATCGATAACTAATTATACCGATCTTAGCACAGTTTTAAGCTATTTTCCGCACTTAAAGGGATAGGTTTAGAGACAGAAGTAGCGGATTGCGTTGTTAGCTTCTGCGCCGCATATGAGACCGATTGAACCCTGAAGG